TCAGAATCTCTCACGAGAGCACGCTTTGCTTCGTGTGGGACCCAACGTTACAGGACCAGCCGTTGGTCTTATCATTTGAGGACGCCTTCCTCAATCTCGCACACAAGTTGCACGCACTGCTTCTTGACATGCCAGTTATGTTTCACACCCCTGGGTAACACACCCTGTGAACAGGTTGAACACGCGTTGTTACCCTTGGGGGTGTCTGTGCAGGCTCCGCATGGGGATGCAGGTGAAAGGGATGGACATGCTTTGTCATCTGCATCCCCAACCCTGGACTTCTGAGCAACGCCAAATAAAAAAGGAGCAGAACGATTGGGTCGGTCGGACTTGTGTTTCTTTTTATTGCTTGTTCCCCCTTGGCTTGAAGCAGTGCACAGGATTCGAACTCGCCTCACTTCGTTGTATCTTTTTTTGGGCTACATGTTGTCAATGTTCCCCGGTTTGAAGCAGTGAATAAAATTCTAACGCTGGGGTTCAATCCTGGTTGAATTTTCGTTGTCAACCGAGCCTTCACCTCAGCACCAGTCAGGAGCGACTCGCCTTATTTCGTTGCACCTTTTTTGGGTCACATGTTTTCCCTGTTGGCTTAAGGAAGTATGGCCGGCACTCCTTTCCGCATCACCAGACCGGCTGCCGCGCGCTCCGAACATAATTTGAACACGCAGAGATTTTGTTTCTTTCGAGGGTTGCGGCATTCTGAGCTGTTCTAAACTGTGCATGTTTTCACACCGTTTTGAATGACAGAGTCCCACATGTCAGAACTGAAGTTCTGTTGTTTTTGCCCAACAAACGAGCTGCTTCTTTCAAAGGTTTGAATCTTCCTTGAAGTCTTTTTTCAGACATAAAGTATTTCAGTTCTCCAATCGTTCTAAATATGCCCTCCTAAAAATCGTTCTAGTTATGTTGAAAATATCAACATTTGGACGCGCATTTTGAGGTGTAAAAAACCATAGTTTTCATTTCTTTGCAGAATTAAATCATTTTTCTTTGTTTTGGTGCCGCGCCCCAAAACGGCTTGTCGTACATTATGTGTAAAAACGATTTGTTCCTCCCAAGAAGACATGTAGTCAAGTCCTTTTCGTTGCACTTTTCGCTTTGCGCCTTGGCACTGCACACTTTCGTTGTCAGACTGTGCTTTCATTGTGCACTTCTCCCATTGCAACACTGCATCTTCTCTTCATGGCATCTTTCACCGTCTTGACTTCTGAACCCCAAACTCTTTCTTTCTACCTCACTTTTCTTTAGCACCTTTCTGCAATGTTACTTTGCTCCTCATGGCCTCGGCCTCAATGTTCTTTCTCTCTTTTTTTACTTCTTTTTATTTTTCTCTTTCTATTAATTTCTGAAGCTTTCTTTTCCTGTTTTTCCACTGCAGCAGAGGAGCCAAACACACCTCTTCTTGCACAACCCACACTTCTTACACACAGTTAGTTGGGAGTGCATGCATGGAATGTGTGTGCAGTGGGTGAGAAGTTCTGTGTTGTGGCCTGGATGCAAAAGAGGCCAGGTTACCTCGGCTCAACTCATCTGCCCACATATTATGCTCGCTTGGGATGTGCGAAGCCAGCACAGACCACTTGAGTTTGTGTGCCCAGGCTGCAACCAGCTGCACTAAAAGTTGAAGCGGCCACGAAGTGGTGAACAGCTTATTCACTCCCGCTTCTGACGCGGTACTGTCTGTACCTATGGGTATGCAGACGCTGTGCGTTGTGTGGCCCTCTGCTCTCCAGGCGATGCGCATGAGTGCAAGCTGTGCCAAAGTTTCGAAGCATTCAATGTAGCGCTGTGCTTCTTTGGTCAAGCAAGGCCACTGGACATCTGAGAAATGCCAGGTCTCTGCAAACCTCTAGGATCATTGGGTTACATGGTCAACCTTGTTGAAAAATGATTGAAAATGTGAGTTTGAACCTCTTTAGATTGAGAAGGGATTGATTTGTTTTTGGCCGCAAAGGAGCAGAGGCGATGAAGTTGGGGGCGGAGTTGACTTCGGCGGCAGAGACGCAAATGGCCAGCAAGATCAAAGTCGCTGGCGCTAGAACCGAGAACTGGTGGTAGAGACTTTGCGGAATAGTTTTTGGCTCTTACAATTGGTTGCCCCACCCCTTAGCAGGAGCGCGGAGTACTGAATAGGGCCTGCGCGGAGTAGACTGTGCTGAAACGCACGCAAGCATTAGTTCAAGACGCGCGGAGTATTCTTTTTCCGTTCTACGAAAACGCTAAACCTTGCTGCTAGCGGTAAGAGTCCACGGGGGTGAAGGGATCGGGCAACGTCCTCAGCCTCGACGCTTGCCAATCCGCGTAGATGACGCGCCTTGCAGCTTTAGAAGTGCGAGCTGGGGTAAGGTCATGGGGCGAGTGTGGGGCAGTTTGCTTCTGCAACCATTTTGTTATTTCTCCTTCGCCCAGCTGAACGCCTAACAGCTTGAATTTTGCGTATGCAGAAGCGCCGAAAGATGTTTCTGTTTTGGGGAGAATGTAGGGTGTTGATAAGTCTGATTTTGCAGACAAAGCGGGCCGAAATTGGGACGAAACGCCTTTCCGAAATGGACCATAACTTGGCTTGCGCCTTGCTTGGTGGGTCACTGCCGTGTTCCACAATTGCTGTCTTACAGGGGGACTGACCGCGTCCGAGGCGCGGGCATTTGCTCAAATGGGGTCAGTCCAACTGTGCCTTGCCATTCAACATCTTTTTTTTCTGGCTTGGGGCCTGTCCACCAAGCGAGGCCTTACGTAGGCACTTTGAATCGAAGATGCGGCTGGTGTTGAATCTTTGTGCCGACGCTGAAGCCTTCCTTGCAACTGGTCTTTCAGGAGGCTCTCTCGCGCTGTGGGAGCTCAGAGGTCTGAAATATCGAGCCTGCCAAAATCCCAAAGTCAACCTCCTCGCTGAGGGCCAGGGCCTGCGTGTTCGGGTCGGATGTTGAAGACTTTTTGCCAGCGCTGGGCCGCGCAATTTGCGTGCTAGAGTCAGCACGGCTGTGAGCAGAGCATTTTGTGAGCAGCGATCGCCGAGCCGGCGAACAACGGCTGGCAGCGCTGTGGCTACTTTGCAAGGCCGTAATTCTTGGCGCGTCGAACCTGATCTCAGGTAGGCAAGAACTCCATGCCGGACTTGACGGCTGCCCCATCTCCCGTTTTCCCAGCTGTGCATTTGTTTGGGGGCAGGTAAATCAGTTGACAAATTGATTTCGTGATGCCCTGGTCGCCTGTCAAGTTTATTGGCGAGGTAACTCAATCAATCGAAGACTCGTAGCTGCCAACTGCGACAGTGCCTACAGCGAATTTCATGAACCACACCAGAAAAGTGCCCCCAAACAATCAAAGAAAAATATCAATTAGCAGCCGACCCACCACAATCCTATTTCCTGGTTGACGAGATGACAAATTTAGCCGGGCGTGTTTGGAGCCACGCAGTGTGCGAACACCTTCAGCAACTTGGCTTTGTGATTCAACATGTATGGAAAGCCCAAGAGGCTGTAAAGCAGCCCGGCAAGCTGGGCAGGTGAAGCAATCCAGCGGAGTTTGTGAGCTGGGACCTTGCAATACCTTGGTTTTGCTGGCCTTCTTGTTCAAAGTCTTTTTATTGCAGAAGCTTCCTGGCCCCTATGAGAACAGACTGTGTTTCTCTTAATTGGTGCAGATTTCCGGGACCGCGTTTCGATGTTGAAGGGCTCACCATGGTCGCGCAGGTTTCACTACGGCGTCTGAAAGTGAGGAGGGACGATGAAGAAAGGCAGAGCGATCGCGAGGATATTGGTGCGCTCGGATATTGCCGCGCGCACTTATCCCGGTATGCAAACAACTCCTAGGGTTTTAGCAAAAGCTAGCTGGCACGCGGACGCTGGCCAACGGCATCCAACAAAAGGTGTACTGCGCCATCAATAAAACGGACAAGCACGGCAAACAGTCAGAAGTAGGTAAACCAAGTTCTATGAAGATATGAGCTAAGCCTGAGCCCTGGGCCTTTGCATGCGGCCTTCACAAGTCTTTCAGCTCAGTCGGCATAGGCAAAGCGGCGGGGTTTGCCCAGTCCCATAAGGCGACAGGTCTTTGGTTCGCGGAGCAGCGATATGAGGCTCCTTGACTTGCAATGTGCGACATATCCCGACAGACCTGAAGTGGCCTTGGCTTGGATTGGGTTACGACCCCGCTTGTAAGACAATCACCGGTCCGGGAAGGGACGAAACCAAAACAAGCTTTCAGCTTGACAGTCGACATTTCAGGCAAACCACAGGGTTAAAGTACAAACTGCTCTCTGCAGGGCAGAAGATCGGATAGTGGAGACTTGTTTGTCAACGCTTTGCTTGGCAGAGAAGAAGTCGGCAGATCCAAGAACTTGTTCAGTCCTGACTTGGTCCCTGCAACTGGCTGTGCGAGACCACAATGACTCATCTTTCTGAGCTCGTAGCTCCCTGCAGCAAGAGCAGCGAGGTCAGCTTGGAGGCCAGGGAAGATGTGGGAACACCGAGCTGTGAGCCGTGCGCACGTGGCCGCTCCGCAAACGCGGTTTTGGCGTGGATTGGGTCGCCTGCTTGTGGTTCGGTGGCCCAGATGCAGAGAGCGCCAGAGGTGCGAGCTTGGCGCCTTGCCAGATCTCCGAATCGTTTGTTGCCTTTCCGCGGAACAGATCCTGGCGGAGCCATGCCTCAAGCGTGACTGCTTTGGAGGGATGTGCAAGAAGGGGGCTTCCACCAGCCTGTCTCACGGAGAGGAGCAGCGTCTACTCAAAGAAGTGGGCAGTAGGACCGGGGCCTTACATTGAGGCTGCCTATCAGCAGATTGCCAGCGCCTATCGTCAAAACAGCACATCCGAGTTGGTTTTTGGGAACCACTTGCTGTTCGTCGATTGCTACAGACACTGGCAGAAGCTAATGGACGTTGGGAAGAGGATGGCAGTCCATTTTGATCCATGAGTATTCTTTTAGGTGCTTGTGAAGGCACACATGGAGGGTGAAAGTCAGCTGATGAGTTGACATGAGGAGAATCATTGACCTCGCCAAGGTTGGCTCACGCTTAGAACCCGGGTAGCGTCCGGGCGCACTGTTCCTTTTTTTCGTCCCTTTTGAGGACGGAGGGGGACCTTGCAATTTTTCACGGACACTGACTGGGAGCATGGATCGCTGTTGGATGAAATTGACCAACTGCCCTGGAGGACGCATACCATCATCAAAATCAGGCGAGGGAGGGTTGGGACGGCCCACAAGTGGGCAATACAGCTTGGAAATTGGCAAGAAAGATAACTTGCAAGCTTCGTGTGAGCGTCTCAAAACTCGAAACCATTTGGGCATCTTATTTCATGTTGTTTTTCAGATTCCAGCTATGCTTATGAGGCCTCCCGAGATGGGCTGTTCGACTCGGCCCCAGAGTGGAGCAGCTGCCAGGGGGCGGGGCCTAAACCTATTCATGGACCAAGTACAGCTTGCCGGTGTGGGTCTTCATCTTGCATTGGTGTGCTTTCACTTGCAGGTGACTACTGTTTGCTGTGCGGAGCTTGCATTTGTCGGGATCTTTTCCGAGGTCTTCCTCAGCTAGTCCTGGTAATGCTGGTAACCAGGCAGGTCAGACATTTGAGCAGGTGCAAGGCAAGGGGTTTGCCCTTGTGATGTGCTGTCATGCACATGTACTTGCTGCCCACAAGCACAGACACCCCAGCTACCAGTGCATCTCTTTTTTTTTTCATTACAGAGTTTAGTTGTCATTTGAGAAAAGTGTTTTGGGTGTTCAATTAGCTAATTGTCATTGCGCATTTTCCAGCCTGCTTCTGACTGGGGGTCATGTTTGCTTTGGACGCCAGGCTGGCGACAAACAAAACCAGGAACTCAGATTGCTAGATGAGTATTCAGCCGGCATCTCAGTGCATGCAACCCGGAAGATGAAATACGTTATATTTTTACGCAGCTTTTGGCGATAGTCTATGACATGAATCAGAGCTGAGGTTGGACTGACGCTTGGCGAAGGGGCATTTGGCGTTGTGTCAGCCCACACCTCGGCAGATTTGACATTGGTTGAGTTGCAACGTGGTAGTTTGGGTGGCAAGCGATTTGCACCACGTTTTCTTCTTTGCTGTTTTTCGGAGGTATGCAAAAAGAGGGCTACAGGCGAAGAGTTCGCCGCAACCTGGCAGCAAATCAGAAACATTGTACCGCTCTGCTTTGCATCGCACAATGGTAAAACATTCATATCGTAGTGCATTTCATTGTGCTGACATTCTTTACTTGGTATCTCTTCTCAGCTTGCATCGTCTTGCGTGGCGTGACCACGTATTACGTTGCACCATCTTAGCCGTATCGTTCCTCGGTACATTATGCCGCGCACTTTACTGTGTCACATCGCATGTCCATTGTGCGCAGGTGAGGAGGCATCAACAGAATCTTATTGAGCATCAACAAACAGATTTTTCTATACAACTGATTTAAGCATCAATTAATAGCCTTTTGGGCATAATTTTGCCGCAAAACACAGTAAAGCGGCTGAAATCTGCAGCAAAAACACCAGTTGGGCATCAAAAACAAACTTGTCGGGCATGCTGGGGTTTGCTTTGTGTAGAGTTTTGTTGGGTGGGTTTACAGCGGGTTGGTTTACGGTTGGTTCGCTTAGGGCGGGTTTAGGGTGGGTTTGGGGTGGGTTTGGGGTGGGTTTGGGGTGGGTTTTGGGTGGGTTTTTGGGTGGGGGGCGGGAGTTCGGTGGGTTAAGGGTGGGTTTAGGTCCCCTTGCGCACCATCTCTGTTCGTAAGCAGCTGTTTTTAATCAAATGAAAGGGTTTATACAAAAGGGGAACTGCATGTACTTTGCGGAGGCAATCCTGGTTGGGGGCGTAGGCTCGCGTAGGCTTCAGCGCGTAGGCTGTTGTGTCACCCCGCGCGTAGGCTTTTCGCGTAGGCGTTTGTTGAACAAATCATGACTGTTTGCCACGTATGAAGGAATTTGCTTCTTTTGCCTTCCTTCTGTTTGTTCTGCAGTCTTCGCGTAGGCTCCGCGTAGGATTCGCGTAGGCTTTCAAGGCATTTTGAGTACGTAGACCTTTTCTAGCAGCCAGATCCTTGGACAGATGTGGGATTCTCACTTGTACTGCGTTTCTGATCTTAGAGCCGGAGCTGCCAAAACTGCACTTGTACTGAAAAGTTGCGATTTTCCAGCTGGAGCTGCCGCAGAGCACTTCGACACTTGAACTCAACATTTGCCCGCGTCGGCATCTGCGTAGGCACCTGGAAGCTGACTTGTGCTCGCGTAGGCACCCCTCGCAGGCCGCGTAGGCTTGCGTGGGCCTTCGCGTAGGCGTGCAAGTAGTGTATAGACCCCGAACCACTAAAAAAACACTGCTCATGTGGCCTCGCATGACATTGCGTGACATTCCATGACATTGCATAACGGTGCATGACATTGTGCAAGATTTAGACACGCGGGCATTCATGCCGACAGTTACTCACACGTTTGCGCGAAATCTGCACAACATGGAAACAGCATGCATGGCCTTTTGAGATATCTTGCAGTTGGACCAAGGTAAAGATGGTGGACAAGGCCAGTACGGACTACTGATATTGGGCAACATGACTGAGAAAGCCGTTGTTCAGGTTGAGACGCCAGTAGAAGCCATCAAGAAAGAAGCGGACATGCTTCAAAGCATGGTCTGGCACCCGGCCATTTGCCCCCATTTGGACTGCGAGTCGCTTCTGCAAGTGGTCGCCCGACTGCGCGAAACCTGACTGCCCGACTCGCCCGAGGATCATCCGAACATTGTCAAGTTTCATGGTGTATACTACGAGAGGCAAGAGTGAAAGTGACAGAGTTGCAAAGAATCGCAGCTGGTGCCTGTCCAGCAGGTTCTTGTTGCAGGTCACAGCCCCGTGTCATTTGCGTGAGACGCTGGAGACAAGCAGAGCAGGTGCTTCGTTTGCATCGTGATGGACAAGCTGGATGGCGGCGACTTGGTTGAGGGGCTGCAGCGACATTTGAAGGAGTGATGAAGCGATTGGGCAAAAGGCAGATCAGGAAAGCTCAGAGCGGTTGAACTTGCCTATTTTGCACCAAGGTGTACTGGTACTTGGGCGGTTGTGAGAATTATGCATTTATCTTCATGGTAGTTCCAAAAGGACCTTGTTGTTTGGACATCTTTCCAGGAGCGTGGACAGATCAACTGCCTAGACGTCGTGCACGTTGCGTGAGCCGGGATGAGCATCAACAAATATATTCAATCCATATTCAGGGGATCAAACAAAAGTTATTAAGGCCCCCTGATTTCATGTTTGCCTTGGTCTTGTAGTCCTGGTGTTTTGGTTTTCTGATGTTCTGGTCCCTTGGTCTCCTGGTCTCCTGGTCTCCTGGTCTCTTGGTCCCCTGATTCCTTGGTCTCCTGATGTCTTCGGTCTCCTAGTCTTCCTTGGCATCCTGGACATCCTAAACTCAAACCAACCCTAAAACAGCCTCAAACCAACCCTAAACCCATCTAAACTGCCCTAACCAACGCAAACCGACCTAAACCGCACCTAAACCAACCCGAAACCAACCTGAAACCAAGCTTTGAGCAACCCTAAACCTCGAGCAAACCGACACTAAACAAACCCTACACCAAGCTTTACACCAATCTTCAATACCAATCCTGAACCAGCTGTAATCCCTACCCTAGAGAAACCCTAAACAAACGTAAAACCCGCGTGAAACCCACAATAGCCCACACGAACCCCACCATACACAAATCTTACGTCCACCCTACTGCCCGCAACCAAACCAAAGCCAGCCCCTTGATTATTCCTGAACTAACCCTGGAGCCAGCCTATATCCACCTTGAACCCAACCCTAAGCCAACCTTGAATAAACAACCGCACGCCCCGGAACCCCTCAAACAGAACCCCTGAAACAACCACGCTCCCGCCCTGAATTCACCGTCAAGACACCCCAAACACTCTGCACCCACTCTAAAGCAGCCTAAGCCAATCCTAAACAAAGCCTCGCAAACCAGACCAAACCAACCCCAAACCCATCTAAAACCCACCCTGAACCCTAAACCCAAAGACCCTAGACCATCCTAAGCCCACTCTAAACTAGCACGAAACAAAATTCAATCCCACCATAAAAGGTACATTCACCCCAAATTCATTGTCCAGCGACCGCAGAAACCCTAAACTAACTATAGACCCACCTTGAACAAACCAACCCTAAACCCTGGAGCTGCCATAGTGACCTGTGCTTGCACTGAAAAGTTGCCGCTTTTGAGCTGGAGCCGCAACGTACGTGCGCTGTTGCCTGAACATGATGTAAAGTACATAATTTTGGCTGCCCTGGGCCTGTTTTCTTTTTTTCCCCCAAAAAAATGATTTCTTTTTGATCCGGGTGCACGATGTCTTTTTGATTCTCAAATTGTTGATCCTGCACCGGAGTGCGGTATTGTAGCAAACCGAGCCTTTCTCCTTATACAGCTGATTTTGTGCCCCCTTATTATGCCGAAATAGTTTCCAGGTAGAACAGCTGCAATTTTCTTGTTGCACGGGTTCCCTTTGTTGCACCTGCGCAGAAAATGGAGCTTTGATAGACTGTCCCCACTTGTTTGCATGGATAAGAGTCACGACCCTCTTTGGCAGGTACCAGATGGCTGCCTCCATTCACTATCTGCACCAGAGGAGCTTGCAGACGACTATCAAGTTTGGCGCTGTTGGCGCACATACCCACCATGGATTCAACGTTTCAATAGACCTGCAGGAATGTGGTGCATCGAGATGTGAAGGGAGACAACTATTTGATGGACCGCAAGGAGAGTCGTCATGTCGGTACTGGCCAGCCTGTGACCAAACCATTCCAATTCCTGCATGCTTTCTGCATCAGCTGCAACTTGGAGTTCGCAGGTACTGAGGAATTTATCTTGGAATTTGGTCATGGCCGATGAACGCCTTGTATTTCCATTCCCTTTTCTTGGGAGTTTGGGGGGTTAAATCTCACAGATGAATGAGGGAGCCTACACCAGAAGAGCTGGAGGAGGTCAGGAGAGTTTCACGTTGCATGAGCCTGTTCTGCTTGCAGAACATGACGGACAAGCAGTGCAAGATCGTGCTCACTGACTTTGGAACTGCAGCTTGCCCGGGTGTGTATTTTATGTACGTGTTTGTGTTTGTGTGGGCTGCTTGATCTGTGGATGCGGGCAGCACGCACTACAACTAGCCACCCCGACACCAGGAACACTAGCAGCACAAAACACAGGCATGTAGCGGCAAGCGGCAGCTGCAGCAGCAGCAGGACCAGCAGCAATCAATATGAGCAGCAGCAATCAACATGAGCAGATTGACGATAGAAGTCGAGAAACATGTCAGATGTGCGCACGAGCATTCACAGCTGGAGGGCACAACTCCAGCAAACGGATTGGATGGGCTTTCTGTGGTTTGGCCAGGTTTGCCCATGTTGCTTTTCCAGTTGTTCCTCTTTTGGTACCTTTTTAGTAATCTTTTGCTATCCTACAGGGGTGGATCAGTGGTGGACCCACAAAAGCCGCATCCAAGCGGTTTCCTAGAACAACAGTCATGTATGACAGCAACAAGATCTTGCAACGAAGACCACCCTACAGCTACAATGACGATTGACCATGCCAGTTGGACAGAAGCCTCTTGGATGTACCGCAAGAACGCCTTTTATCCATACATTGCCGCGATATCCCCGTTCTTTACTACTACTACTACTACTACTACTACTACTACTACTACTACTACTACTACTACTACTACTACTACTACTACTACTACTACTACTACTACTACTACGTATTTTGAACACTGTACTGGTGGACAATAAATTCTTGGTTGCCGTCACTGCGTCTGATTCACCGAGGGAAGGCTCTTGCTTCAGATTTCAAGACTTCGAATCAATAAACAGCAGCACTAGTTGCTTACGAGTAGGCGCTAGAAGAGATGCAGAGCGAGCAGCTCTCAGGATTTTCCGCAGGCAACGTGCTTGCTTGCTTGCTTTTCTGGCATCCTTGTATTTCAAAGTAGACTTATGGGGGTTGGCTCAAAATAGGAGACCCCCCCCCCAAAGGGTTGTTTTTCTTTCTTTTTTTGTCCCTCAACTCCCCCCAAGAAGAAAGGGACTCTCAACAAATGTCACACCCCCGACGAGTATGCCATCTGGTGCACAGGATGTGCGCGCATAGCTCCAAGGCCTGCCAGGCATCCCCCACAGACAAGCTCTCCTCCGGGGCTCGGGAGCCTAGCCTTGGCATGGTGAACCCTAGGCTTGTGGTATCCTCTCGTGGGGTTTTGGGTGGTTTGAAGGGAATCCATCACGGAAGCATTTGGAGGTTGATCCAAAAATAAAAAATCAGTTTTGGGGTGCTTGGCCATTCCTCCCGATGTGCAGCCGGAGCTGAGTGCAGGTACTGTCTCCAGAGTGGGCACTATGTAAACTTGTTCACCGCTCTGTTTCAAGATGACCGATAGCGTCTGCCTTTTCCCGCATTGCAAGAAGGGCATAGCCTCCTCACATTCTCAAACTTGCAGATGACTTGAGGTTGGGACCAAGATCTTTTGGTCGCCCGAGTTCTTTGACCGGGAATATAGCCAGAAGGTGCGCTGGCTAGGTTTGAGAAGCTCAAGGAGTTCTGATGGCGCCTTGCGAAGCATCCTCACTATCTCTATGCAGCCAGGGGCTTCCTGATGGTTGTTGTTGGTCTAATGCAAGCGCCGCACATGAAGGCTGCCAATTTCACGACGAGCTCACTGATTGGGGGGTAACACGAGCTCACCATGATGAAGGTACTTTATTGCCCATTGTTTTCGGTTGTAGAATTGCAAGCAAATGCTAAGCTTAAGCGACTCATCAAGACCGCGATGAACACGCTAGGTGGATGTGTGGGCCATGGGCGTCATCATGTACGGCCTGGTGAGCGGTGCAAAGCTGAGAGATGCGGGTCTTTGGGCTGAGTCGGCGATGTGGCAGCCGAGGCTGTCTTGTTTCCAGGTACCCTTTCGGGTTGTGTGAAAGAACAATTCTCATTTCTTCCCTTTGCATCCATATTGTATGCGTCAAGCCATTGGCTTGAAGGCTTCAAGTCGTGCCATATCTCAGGTCGCTTCCCTTTCAGAGATGAGAACGACGTCAGGCCATCACCTGAGCCAGCAACGCACATGCGCAGATACATATGCTTGCTTGGGGCTTATGCAGCTATTTCAAGGCCCTTTGGCTGGTTCGTTGGTCCCTCAGGAACAAGGAGGTGCGAATTCCAAAGCGCGTCCACCCGGTCTGCGAGGCATGGCATTTTTCCCGCAGGTTTCATAGGCGTCACTGCGCGGACCTTGCTAGGGGGGCATCAAGGCTTTTTGCGGGTCTCTGTGCCCCAGCATTGTCTTGCTTCAGCGGCGACTTTCCTTAATCATAGCTCATGTAAGACGTTGAAACCAAACCTTTGGGGCAACTTGTTTCCCTTTTTGATGAGGGTTTGAAGCCTATCCGGCAGACCTTGGCACAAGCATGACACTGTGAAGGATTTGACTGTGCTTACCATGCAGTGAAGTGTTGTTTTGTTACTCCATTCAGCACGTCACACCAGGAGCATGACAAGCTGCAATTCTTCCGGGCTGCACAGCTGATGGCATTCGATGCGGGGGATTGGTTTGAGACATTCTGAAAATGAACAAAAACACCAGTGATAGAGAAATGAACAGCAGCAAGAGTGCGTCTCTCATGTCGGCGAAGTTGCATGTTTGCCACCTCAAAGCTGCTCGACTTCAGGCAAACATGGGCTTGTGCCCAGCCTCGCTTGCTTTTGCCTGAGGAGTTCATTCGCAAGATGCTGGACAAAAGCGAAAAGACACGGATGAGTGCCACTGACGCCACTGACTGAGTTGCAAGGGCGCCTTGCAGACAAGTTTACATACTTCATGTATTTCTTCCTGCTCCATGCGCCATGCTGCATTGTTCCCCTCCCATTTTCAGTTTGGTTCAATTTCTTGGCTGCGACATGTCTTGGTCCTGGACTGGCCCAGGTGATGAATCACCCGTGGATCGCTGGCAAGTTCGGAAAGTGCGCCCAGCGGTATTGTCGACGCGTTGGTTTGGTCTGAATCGCTGTGGAGCTTTGTTTGCCATGTTGGCTGTTTCGCGAGGGTAGGGAACTTTTTTCTTTTAAGGAACCGTGTTTTGGGCATTCTTTTTGGGGTGTCTTTCCGTTTTTTGTTTGCCGTTTCTCTTGTTGGGTTGTTGTTTGGCGTTTGCCAGACCCACTTTGGCCAGGGTGGAGGACAGCAACGGCAAGGCCGGAGAAGAGCCGGGCGCCACAGGTGTGGCGATGCGCGGCTTTTCGAAAAGCCGCGGGAGCAGCCTCGACTTGTTTTTGGGCAGAGCGTGGTTTTTGGTTCGCTTTTGGTTGGTTTTATATTTTCTGGTTGGTTTTGGTTGGTTTTGGTTGTTTTGTCTGCAAGTTTAAGACGAGGAAGTTGCACTTCCGCCCATTTGGAGTGAATGGTTTTTTCAGATCGCCGGCCAAAAAGCCGGGCTATGAATCCCAGAGAGCGGTGGATCAATTTGACTCCTGAGGGAAGGCGACAAGGATGCAGACGGCATGGCGGAGGTGCGGCGCAGTTGACATGGGCCCGGTCAATCGAACCTTTCACTTGCACAACATGTGCGGCCGAAAACCATCCCATCACTACTTTTTTTTTGTTCTATATACTTCATAGCTCTTTTTTCTCACAGACCTCGCTTTCTGGCTTTTTGCCCTGTCACACACTCTTGTAGCCAGGCCGGAGTGAACGATGGTATCAAGGAGAGGCGTCAGGACCGGAGAATCGCGTCGGAGCGCCCGTTGATCCTTTGGTTGTGTTATCAAAGAGAAGGCACATGTGGGTATGGTTGTTTCTCAAAACGGTCCCCTAACAGCCTGGTTTTCTTTTTCCCTTTAAACACCAACTACGAGGGTAGTCCATTTTGAGAAGCACCATATCAGCAACTGTCAGTATTCGCCATCATCTACGGAGGTAAAGCAAATGACGTGTGATACTCTCGCCACAACACACCATTAAGACATGGGCTTACTCACCAAAATGCCATGTTAGGTGGAAACACGCTGAATATGACTGTGGCTATTCATGGCCAGGTCTGGCGCATTTCACAGAACCCTCATCTACTTTTTCTTCAGAGGCCAGTGAGACGGATGAAGATTAGGAGCTGATCCAGCGCATGAACCGGGAAGCGGAGAGCCGCAAGGGGATCGCCACCAAGCGTGGGCCTTAAGAGGATCAAGCTCTCAGGGTTGCCACCCTAGTTGAGAGGGGGGGGAGTTTCCCATGTCTATGGAACCCCGGGGAGCGTAGGTGGTGTTGTGGTTGATGGATCTGAAACTGAATTGGGGGGCGGCAAGTGGTTGCAAGTGACAGTGAACAAGCATCCAGCCATATCCAGAGGGTACGGGTATCAGCAGTGATCTTCTGGCTTAGTGACGGTGGCGCCGAAAGCTTTCCTGGTCTTCTTTTGTCCCCGTGCTTGTGTACACCTGGTGTGTCATCTCGGGAGAGGGCGGTGGCGATGTGTTGTTAGACCTGCTATAGGAAGCAGCTCCAGAACCACAAACACAAGAAATTTGTGGTCGCGGACAAGATCGTGCCCCTATCGGCAACTGGCAAAAAAGCAACTCAGTCGTTTGGGGCCCAAATCCTAAAAGCCTAACTGAATTGAGTACAAGGCTTGCACTCAAACTTTGCACGGATGTTGGAGCCCATCCTTACATTTGCAATGTTTTGCCAGGTTCGATCATTTCCAGCTGCCAAGGTGTGTCTTCGGAGGATTCCCTGAAACGACGGCTTCCCATATTTGCTGGCGCGACTGCCCAGTGCTTCTGGCGACCCGCAGGTACAGGGCGGCAAGGCCTCGTACGAGTGGTGGACGGAGGATCAGGCAGCAACGTCCAAAGGTGTATCCATCGTTAGATCGGATGTATCCAGGTTTAATACACGGTAAATCAAATGTGAAACCATTCCGTTTGCTAGTGTCCAGGTTAGGGACACAGCGTTTTGCTGACAGAAGCGCAAGCTGTGTTGACTAAGTTGAAGGAAGCAGAAGGAGGCTTGCAGAGACATCACAGCGGGAGCGTGCAAACTTCGCAGGGGGCGTTTCTTTGGAGGATATACCTATTGGTTTTCATTTTGGGCCCCCTTGACACGTAAAGGGGCTTCCTGTGCCAGGCCAAGAAGGACAAGCTTCTTGACTTTGACAACTTGGCACCAGCACCCAAGGAGAGCTGAGTCATTGTAAGTCTAATTGGTGGCTTGGATTGGTGGTTTTGTGGTTTGGAGGTTTGGAGGTGTTCCGTACAAGAATGAAGGGTTCAAACCCCACCCCCAATACAAACCACCAGTCGAGGGTTGCCTGACTGAGTCTTGGTCACGGCATGAAGTCAAGCATTCGCTCAGACAAGGAAGTCGCATCAGCCGCTCTGCTCCACATAGGAATATGTGCAGGGGCTAGTTTTTGTAGGGCCTCCGTTGCCCTCTTTGTTCGGTACCTTTCGCGGGGCCAAAGCCGCAAGCGGTTTGCGCATGCTTTTTGTTCAGGACGATCCTATGGACCTGGCGATGCTCCGCAAGCACCTCATGGAGCCTGGGCCTTTGGGGCCCAGCTTGATTCCCGTGTTGGCAACGGGCAAATCATGTTTGTCGGGACATTGGGTACACAAAGTCCAAATGGTTCACCAAAATGCAATGTCACTAGACCACTCAACTTGACCGTGGGTTATGTCAATGCCTTCAGGGAGCACCCGTGTTTCCGGCACGCGCCTTCGGGGCCTTACTCCTAGGCACAACATTGACCCCACCAAGTTCGGCGTGGGCAAGGCGCGAGTCCACCAAAGCGCCCGCGCTTTCCGCTGTGGTGTCCTACGGACTGGGATTGGGGATCCGGATCCCATTTTGAACGACCTCCTGGGTTTCCTTTTGATCTTCAAAAGCACTCCTCCAAAAACAAAAACAATTTTACAGAATTTCAAAAAAGCAATACGTAGCAACAAACATATAAAACTAAACTCAAGACGCAGGCCAAGGGCATCGAGCAGCTGGCCAAAGAGGTGGAGACGGGCGCTTCCAGGTGCGGTTCCGGTTCCGAGTACATCCGAGTGACCGTTTTTAAGGAGCCTTTTGCATCTTTTGGGGGTGGGGTTGCATTTTGGGGGTAAAATTGGAGCCTCCGTCCATTCTGCAGGGAAATTGCCAATGGGGATCCTTTTGGCTCGTCTGAAAGGGATTTGTCGCCACTCACTGCAACTTGGTTCAAACATGTTTGGATTTGTCCAGCGAGGCATATTAGATGGTTACCTGGAATGAGCAGCGCGCAAGCAGTGTCTCGATCACGCATGCGGTGGTATGTGTCGTTTTGGGAACCTGATCGCTTTCCTTTGTGCCGCCTTCAGGGGGTGGGGAGGGGGCGGTGCGGCGGCTCACATCTTGCAGTCCAGTGCAAAGAAAGATGTAAGTTGGTGGGTTGGCTCGTGCAGGCGGCACAGCGCTGACTTTCATCTTGCAGTGGCGGACCACTCCTGTTCGCGTATTCATGCTTTCTAGCGACTCAAGGCGGCCATTCCGCCAACTCAAAACCAAGAAGCCCACGTTTCAGCAAGCCCGTCCCATTGTTGGGATGCTGTCAGGCTTCGCCTTTGGTGTGACATGGAGAACACAGAAAACCGCGCCCGTGCAGCAATCCAGCAGCAACAGGCACCTAGGCGAGCCCTCCGCACTAGCTGAAAAACTAGCTCTAGACGGCCCCGCCAGAACCCTAGATTGTCGCCCCTGTGCGTCAACCATCTGTGTTGGTGGCGCAAGTGATGTGTTTTCGCTGGTTGGTACAAGTGATGAGAAATCGGGTGGCGCAAGTGATGGCGGGGCCCGGGCCCCAATTTCCCCACAAGCCAGGAGTCAGTTGGACCAACCCCTCACCCAGACGGCAAAGGCGGCGGGAGCTACTCTCACGTCGGTTCCGTTTCGCGCAGGCTGATGTTGGACGCCAAGGAGCACAAGAAGTTGGCTCGGGGCCTCGATGAAGAATGGTGGATCTAGCAAAGCAGTGAGTTATTGTACTGGAACAGGCAAATGCCAAAAGGCGCATTGCGGATGGCCAGTGCAGAGTTTGCACGCGAGGTGCGTGTGGTTGACATCGTGGTGCTGCCCGGGCCTTGGCTCTTTCTTCGGACTCCACCCGCTCTGAGGAAGCTTGAGGCCTGCATGGCGCACTCTGACAGCCCCAAAACCTGGCCTTTCTGAACTTGCTTGAAAGGGAGACCATTTTTTTTTTAGGAGGCGGGTTTCGAAATATATATGTATATATATATATATTTTATATACATCCGCAGCTTCCCAGCTTAGGAAGCTGCGGCCCGCAGATGGCTCCAGGCTGCTGGTAGAATTCAAGGAGCCCACAAGGGTGCGCGGCGCCCCTTGAAAAGCAAAGGCAAGTACTGCGGGCGTGTGTCTCCAATGTTTCCAAAACAAACCGAAGCTTGCAAGACTTGTGGGTCTGTCCAGAAGAGACCACATTTTATCATCACGAGTTCAACCTTTGTTTTTGGTGTTGTGAGTGATGGGTTGCTCCTTTGGGAGGAAGATATGTGGGCAGTGGTGAATTGCTGTCAACAGAATAGGCTTGCAGAAACCCTTGCTCGAATGAAGCTCTGAGTTTCCATGCAGAAATTGGACTGACACAAAATGGGCTCAAGACAAGGCTTGGTGGCCTGAGTCGACCCCCGACAGCAAACCAAAAGGAAGGGCAGCTACCGAGCTCCGAGCGAACCTCGTTAGGTGACTGGATGTTGGCAGGGCCCCGCCCGTCACGGCGTGGCTCAATCTGCTTCGTGCCTTTAGGTTTGCAGTGCTGCATTTTCGTCTTATCATCACTGCTTTGCTTGCCGTAAAGATGAAGATGAATAAGCCAAAGAAGAAGAAGAAGAAGAAGAAGAAGAAGAAGAAGAAGAAGAAGAAGAAGAAGAAGAAGAAGGAGCATAATAATAATAGACAAAGACACATCGTAATAACAAAATAAATAATAATAATTATAATAATAAGAGAAGAAGGAAAAGCAAAATAAGCAGAATAATAAGAAGCAGAGAAGGATGAAGAGAGGGAAGAAGAAGCAGCAGAAAAGGATCAAGAATCAGAAGAAGAAGAAGAAGAAGAATCAGCAGAAGAAGAAAAAGAAGAAGCAGAAGAAGCAGGATAAGCAGAAGAAACAGAAGAAGAAGAAGAAGGAAAAGCCAAAGAGGAGTAAGAAGAAGAGGAATAATAATAAGAAGAACAAGCAGAAGAAGACGAAGGAGAAGAACGAGAGAAGCAACAATGATAATAAGAAGAGGATGATGATCATGATGATGATGATGATGGTGGTGGTGGTGGTGGTGGTGATGATGATGAGGATGAGGATGAGGTCCATGCTTTCCCGTTGCTCCTGCCGCGGCCCAGTCTGGGTCCAGACAAACATTCACTCCCTAAGGATTTGAGTTGACCTTGATGTTTCGAAGTCCAGGAGCTGTTCCCAGATGGCCGGGAGCGGGAAACGCTGCGCCTGCCCGGTACCAAGAAGGCGCAGCCGGAGTGTTGGAACGTCGGAACGCAGCGCCGCCATCTAGGCATTCGAGACGGTTGTCCCGCGGTATCCATTTTCATTGGACATCTCATGTACATTTTGAGGTGTTCAAATAGATCAGAGAGTCAAAGCACTCGCTCGATGCATTGTGTTCTTGGGAGGGTTGGTTTCTAGTCAATTCCCGTGCCAGGAGCCTCACGAGAACGCCAGGAGCGGTGATGGGGGGCATCGGCCGTGAAGGGAAATCTCAGTCATGACCCGGGAAATGAGTTGCTGCTTGTTCCAAAACCTTGTCATCACGTGGATCACCCAAATTGTTGCACATGCAACAAACATGAAATCTGCAGAGCGCCTGTTGCATATGTAGAAAGAGCAGGGCTAAGATATAGCCTAGCTTCTCCTTGCCATGCGAAGCACTGCCTTACGTTGGGACCACGCCGCCATACCTGGCCGCTCAAGCTCTGTGGCATTTTGTCGCCCAGTTAAGGCAAAATCATTGACGCAGCCAAGGGCTGTAACCCATTGTTGCTGGCAGATTTGTGTGACAATTTCTTTACATGGGGGACCCCTGGCTGGTTGCAGTTCTTTTTTGGTTTCCCTTTTTCAGAGTCGTCCAGGCAGACCTCGGAGCGCATCCTGCGGGAGATGATGAACATCGACCCCAGCACGGCTCGAAACCTAGGGGTCTGAAGGGAAGCCGCATATCCACCTGGAGCTTTCTTTCAAGCAAAACGTGCAGGGACCTCGAAGTTTTTAGCTTGAGATGGAGAGACCATGGTCTTTGTGTAGGCACCCAGTCGAGGCCCAAACGCCATTTTGCCGCTGCATAGCACCACTCACCCCCCCCCCCCCGGCTGGCTTTTCAACCATCTTCCAGTTTTGCTGTATTTGCTGCTTGGTGAGCCAAGCTGCCGTGGACCCACCGCTTCTCTTGACGAAGACGGCGCACTGTTGCAAGAGGTGTCCTTCGACTTCTCCACGGTGGAGCGCCAGGAGGAGGAGACCGACTCCCCGTCCTTCCCGGCCGGGCGCTGAGGAATCAGCGCCCAGGTTTTTGCCTCGGAGTTGATGGGCGAGATTTGGGGGTATATAGTTCTACTTAAACTGAAGATTGTGTTCTCAAACCACCATTGAGAGGGGGATTTTGAGGATGGGATGGGATAATGTTTTCCTTCCGGTTGGGTGCCAATGTTGACTCCTGTTGCCTGGGATGGATCAAGTGCTAGCCACCGCAAGTCTCCGCTTCGTCCTGCTGATGTAAGCGCCAGGTATCTTGGGAGGGTTTGACTTCGGCCCAGTCCGGCATCGGCTTTCTCGAAAGACACCCTGGCTCTTAGGGCGTCACCACGGTTTACCGCAAAGAGCTGGTGGAGTGCAAGGTGACGACGCCGGACAAGGCTGGGAGTTTGTTTCTTGGAGGAAGCCCAGGGCACGCGCGAGGCGGATGGGAGAGGCACAAGGTTACGAAGCAAGGGTGGGGGCAAGTCTCATCGCATATGAGCGTGCTTTCCGCTGCGAGCAATGTTGCAGGCTGCCCAGGAGAAGGCAGGCAGACTGCGTTGGACGTTGGACAAATCGCCCTGCAAATCGGCACAAAGGATGGCCGAGCATTGCCAGGTGGGCCTGCCTGCCATGCAGCAGTGGAACGCCAAGGACACTCAGGCTGCGGGTTTCGGTCGTTATGCGACAAGACGGGGCTGGGATGATTACAATCAACATCATTGGTCAGCAACGGGCTGCCCTAAACAAGACTCGGAGACCATGAGGTCAGCTTTCCCAACGCCAGGGCAACACCAAGTTCTTCACCTGGCTCACCGACAGCGAGGCGGAGGCCAAGAAGGTGAAGCTCAAGGTGCAGGGCTCCCACGCCTCGGCCTCAGCTGGCATTGCTGCGCTCGTCCGCTCAAGAAATGAGGTTTGAGCGGGTTCGAGTTGGGCACCTGAACATGGTCCTGACTAGGTTCGAATTCTGGCTCACTTCGGCAAAATGCTTGACATTTCTACTAGTGGCCAGATGGGGACAGGATGGGGTTCGCTCTCGCACCTGGCTTCCCAGATTTCCACGCTGGTGAAAGCCCCCATCGGCCTGGATGAGGAGGCACAGCCACGAGTCGAGAGCGTGTCAGCCGGAAGTTTTGAGACCCTTCCACTAGTTCCCTTCCGACCTTCCGCGCGAATCGCGGAAGAAGTTCAGTCACTTCCACGTAAAGAGGGTATCCCTGAAGGGCAACCTGAAGTTCTTGTGAGATTTGTCAGGCCTTGCGCGAGTACCTCACCTCCCACAAGCTCGCCGCTTACAAACCCTGCTCGTGTATCTTGCCCGGCAGAGCACTTGCCAATCATATTGTGAGATTCGAGTTCAACAGGTCATGCCAGTCAGACCGTGACACTTACACAAAAATGTGACAGTTGTCCGTGGCTCATTTTAGGGAAGACACAGGGCTTGCTTCAGGCATACCAAGTTGCTGATTGGGTCCTGCTCACAAGATTTGATCCTTTCCCTTTCATTGCAAGGTCAAGGCAATTGACGCGTGGTTGCGATTAAGAGCAAAACGATCCCGAAAGAAGTAACGCGGTCCACCTTCTCGCTTGCCCGGAGAACCTTAACGACAACCAATTTGTTTGCCAGTGCTATTTGCAAGTCGATCTTTCCCGCAGCATCGACATCAAAAAGTTCGGCAAAGATGGTACCAAGCTGTAGCCCCAGAGTGACGTGGCAGTCATCTTGGGCCATTGGCTTGCTGCTTTGCCGCTGATTTGATGGACCCAACCAAAGTCAGGCCTTTGCTCTTCCCACTTTCTGATCTTTCTTGGGACGCTGTGTGGCAACCGGTGGCATGCCTTTCAATGATGTCTGTCTCAATGCTTTCCCAGCCCTAGACAAATGCTGGCAGGGCACAATGTGTGCGCATGGATTGCACGCGTCTGATGTGCGACGTCCATAAAGGGCCGAATTCAACCAATCGTTTCCCCTTTCACGCACCTCAAACACAAGTCCCGAAATGTGAAGACACGACCAAGACGTGTTCTTCGGTTTCCAATAGTTCTGAAGGTCGCTGAAGGAGTTCTCCAACGAGCTCATCAAGGGCGAGACGCGGCTTTTGCAGGTGCCCTGACTTTTGCTTATGTGGCCCTTTACGCTGTTGGAATCCATCAGGGTAAAGAGTTTTGGTAGTGACTAGGTTGTCCATGATGGGTATGGTGTTGTGTTGGAGTCAAATGGGTATTGTGATTAGTTGGAGGTCCCACGACCAGGGGGTTGCAGAAAGTACTTTCCAATGGAGGGAGCTCGGAAGTCTGCCCACGCGGTCGAGTCGTTGGCCAAGCTACGAGATAGGTGGATGGTGGCGAGATCCTGGTCATCACAGAGGCCAGGAGCTGATCTCCGGGAGGGGTCAACGCCAGGCGTCACTCCAGCGCAGGGCAGTGCTGGGATTTCGACAGGTCTCAGAGGTTAGGTCGAAATGGCTGGCGTCTATGGTCCATTTGGGAAGGACATGGGAAACTTGCATGATTTCTCACGAACTGCGGATTCACAACTCTGTCCATGTGATTCTGACCATAGCTCATGTCAGCGACATCCCGGCCCAACTCGTCCCTCGCAGTTCGCCAGTCTTACCACCCGCCAGGTGGTGATGCTCATCTTGCAAAATCCAGAGGCCAAGGAGACCCTCGTGCAAACTGCACAGGCTGGGGTCCTACAAAGATTGCTTGGCTTGCAAAACAATCATTGACATCTCTCAAGCTCCAAATCTCTTGCTCCGACATCTCCTTGGGTCGCAACTCGAGCGCGCTGGTGAGAGAAATGTTCACATGTGGGTAGTTTGTGGTGCATGTTCCAAGTAGGCCACGGCCGGTTTACCGCGCAGCGGCCGCGTCGAGGTCTGGCCGGATGGCAAGGCAAGCCACCAGGCACGCATCCCCGGCGCCAAGCGCCGCACGGGGCCCAAGCGTGGGAAGATCCTGAGGTTTGTTTGAACTTTCCCATCTATGGTCAACTTGGCATGGGAGACTCACTCACAAATCCGGTTAAAGCCAGGGGAACTCGCCAGTTTCGCCATGTCAATGATGGGTGACAGCACATGTTGACACTAGCTGGGCCCCTCCCAGTGCTGAGCTTTGGCATGCGAGTTTACATTGAGACGCAGAAGTATAGAGGTCAAGCCTGCCCGGTGCCCGGCTGATCCCAGGACCGGATGAAAATCAGTTTCTCTGCGCCCGGCGCATCTTGAAGCGGTCAGGGGCCCAACAGGTTGTCCGGGGTTGTCAGGTTGTGCAGACGTCAAGGGATTGGACATGCGATGCGATGCAATGCTTCCCAGGCAGCTCGAGATCGACGAGAATGCTGCTGGGCCGGCCTGTTCTTCCGCGGGCCCCTGGTAACAATAGCCTTAGGTCTCCTCAGTGGCCATGCCTCCTTTGGGCTCGCCAGGTGCGCATCTCTCAGGAGGTGGGCTATATCGAGGAAGACCGCAGCTCGAAGAGCGGATCCCTCAGGGCCCTCTTAGTGCACGAAGTCCTGGGTGTCGCGAACTGACCTTGCCTCACTTGCCTGGCATGCCGATTTTCATGGGCAGGTTCCAAAACGGAGCATTCAAGCATGAGGCGAATGAGGTAGGAAGTGGAGGTCAGGTGAAAGACACAGACCTCAGCCTGGGCAATCGTTGAGTGCGGCTCGAGCTTCAGATGAGCTTACGGGCGTGGCTTGAGCCAAGGCTATCCTGGACTGAAGACGGTACGGGGCCCCATGTCGGAAGTGGCACCGACCATGATGCAGTGCGTTGAACGTCCTGGCATCATGGACCTTTGTTTTACTTAAACTAAGGGATGCATGGGCGATTTATTCAAAAAATCCTGGTGCAAATACTGTCAGGAGATGACCAACAGTGGGAAGCTGATGATTGGGAGATTGGGAAGTTTCGCCCCCTTCCAGTTGCAATCTGGATGCAGATGTGGACAAAGGCCGACACACTTCCAAAACTTCCCTGTCAACTGGGTGTGTCTTTTTTAGTGGATCCCGCAACATGATGGCTTTCCTTTTGGTTTTCCCTTAAAATTATTAAAACCTCCAAACAAGGGGCACCCTTCAAAAAGGGGACACCCAGTTGGAGGGTGGCCCCAAAACCCAGGGCTCTGCACAGAACACCAGGTCTACAGGAAGCGGGTCATCAAGGGAGAGGTCATCCCCAGTGCGGGCCTTGGATTTTATCCGTGCACACGCTGGAAGAGCCGTTTTTATGTTTCGTTGACCTGCTGTTTGAGCCAGCCCCAGAGTAACTTTCTTCTGGCGAATGCTAAGCTAGAGGCAAGGAAGAAGTTGAAGCTCAGCTTCCTTTGCGTTCTCTTCGACCCTTGCTCTCCGTTTAGCAGTGCTCAGATGCGTGAGCTGGAGCGGGACAAGTGCGAACCTTAGGGGGGTTTGCCATGTCTGGAGGCCAAGCAATTTCGTTGTACATTTGGGTGCTCTCGCGCTTTGGGAGCTTTGGCTGCTTTGCGCGTTGCGAATACGGGGCGGAGGTCCAACTGTGCCATGATCATAGATATTGGAGCACCTCTCCAAAGACTCTGATAAGTTTGGTATGATGCCCCTGTCAGGACATTTTAGGACTCGCAAGCCACGTTTGCATGCACCATGATTGCTTTGCGACGCACTGTGGGCTTTGGATGCCGAGGCGTGATTGAGGTTTTTCTATTTCCGGGCAAATGCCAGGTGAGCCAAACGGCTCCGAGTCCCGATCACAAGGATCACAAGGGGTTTAGCGGAAGACCTCGGGATAAACTCACATGGATCAGCTGGATCAAGTGCGTGACCGAGGTTGGATAGGCTGAGTCAGACCTTTATGTGTCTTGTATGTTTCATTCTTATCTATGGTCTTGATCCTTTGAATCCGGCGCTGGAACTTGCTCTGGCTGATCGATAGCTGAACGCAAACCCACGACGATTGTCGTCTCACCAAACTGTCGGAGACGAATGGCCTCCGTGTCTTTCACCGAAAAAGTCCACCCCGATCGTGTTCTTTTGTGACTTTGCAGTGCTATGAGGGCATGCTTCCCTAGGGAAGGGCGGCCTCGGTGTGAGGGGCCAATTCGGTGCAGTAGTCTGGAACTGGCCGATGCGCGAGACGAAAGCATACGGAGCCCAGTGGCAAGCGTTCCGGGTTTCCGATCGACGCTTGGAGTGATCGACAGAGGGCCCTTGGCCTCGCTATGCGCAGCTGTGGTTAGATCGCATGCCGCAAGATTCCACATGGCGCGAGCAGCAGTGGCACGAAGCACACTTCCTTAGGAGCCACCAACGTTCCACAAAAGTCACCAGCTCCTTTTCTCTTTCCCATTCCCGGCTTTGGTTTCCCATGGCGCCCCCCGAGCTGCGGGATTTGCTGCAGTCGGCGCCGCAATGGCGGAAGAAGGACCTGGGTTTGTGTCAAAGTGAGTTGACCTCTCCCCTCAAAAAAGAAAACAAGCAAGCAAAGCAATTACCTGGGATCCTTTGGGGACCTGGGATCCTGATCTTGGGGAGCTGCAGCAAAGAGCGCCGGGTCTGTTTGCGGCGTTGGCTATGTCGATGAGAGGCTCTTACATCTTTCTGCACATGGATCTGGTTGAATGCTGGCTTGGCAGCCTTGTTTTCCTGCGCGTGTTGGCAGGCCGCTTTTGACTGCACAACAACGAACCCGTTGGCGCGTTACCATTACAGATGATCAGCGCGCTTGAAAGATTGAGCATGGCCTTCAAAGACCATTCAAGTTGCTTTCATGTGCTGTGGTCGACTGGTACTGCCAATGTCCCAGTTGGCTATTTTCCAGAAGCAACGCTGCCGCGCGTTCTTGGAGTTTCCATCCTGCTTTGGCAGCTACCAGTCGTTTTGTGACATGGACAATTTGCGACCCAAAAACAGGCATAGACACCAGAGCGAAAACTTGGACTTTGCCGGCTCCCAGAAATCCATGCTCAAAAAGCACAGAGAGACAGAGAGAGAGAGAGAGAGAGAGAGACAGAGAGAGAGAGAGCGAGAGAGAGAGAGAGAAAGAGAGAGAGAGAGAGAGAGGGAGAGAGTATTTTGGCTCCTCTCGTCTCCTCTTTCCTCCCCCCCTTCCCCTCGACTCCTGAGGATAGTTTTTTTCCCTTTTGGTTTCCCTGAAAACCAAACGTCAAAAGAGTACCCTCAAAACAGTGCACACTACCTGCAGAGCTGCTTGGTTGGTCTTTAGAGGTGAAAACCGCTTACTTCCATATTCGAATCGAACAGTTCGGTCCTTCTTGACATGTTTGGGTTTTGACATTCCCTTGACATTCCATTGACTCACTTGACGTTTTTACAAGAAGTAGGCGGGTCGCACCTGCTGCGCCCTGTACGGCTTGAGCTTGGGCAAGTTTGGGAAGTCCCATCACTCGTGTTGTTTTCCCCGGCTCCGCGAGCCTCACGCGTGATGGCGCCCCAGGGATGCTTCAGGTCCAGAACTCCCAGAAAGGTGGCGTGGATGGCATGTGCAGTGGCACTCGTCACATCCTGGCAGGCAGCCTGGGTTCCGCAACCGCTCCTTCCGCCGGAAGCCTCGCCTGGGAAGTTGAGGGTGTACCACTACACCGATGAGGCAGGCTATCGTGGCATTTTGAAGTGTGGACACATCCGACCATCGGACATCAGCCTTGGTGATGCATCCTATGGCTCTCATGTGTATGCAACAGAGCTGGACCCTTCAATGCCATTTTATGAAATACTGCGGAACAACTACGACATGGATGGTGGTATTCGAGGCAGAGCGGAAGACAAGAAGGATCGAGCAGACTATGTTTTCGCCTTTGATCTGCCAGAAGATTCAGTGGCGCATTTCGATTCAGAAGGGGAAAGGTCGGTTTTGGGCATCGGGAATGGAGAGAACCTCTCGATTGAGGAGGCTGCTTGCCATGCAGCAGCTCGTGCCGCAGATGCACTCATCAAATTTAAAATAGTGCGAATCTATCACTACACCGACCACCTTGGATTGCAAGGCATCTTGGAGAATGGAGAGATACGAAATTCAAATATCAGTATGGGCAATGAGTTCTTTAGAAGTGTTGTGCATGCGACCGCGCTGGGCCCTTCAACACCTTTCTTCACCATTTTGGAAAACAACTATGCTATGGATGATGACATTGCGGGCAGGGCGGAGTGCATGAAGGACAGAGCTGACTGCGTCGTCGTGCTTGAAGTCCCAAACTGCAGGTTACATGATTTCGACTATCGTGGACGTAGATCCGTTTTGGGCATTGTGAATTTTTTGAGTCTCCGCCTCGAACACCATGCATTGTGCGCTGGACCAGCAGCGGATGTTGCATTGGTGCTTGAGGACCTGAAAGCTGGTCGAGAGCCCACAATAGAACTCCCCTTCTACAACGAAGAGGCTCCATCGTTTACGGGGTTAGTGCGGTGCTAGGTGAAAAAATCAGGAATACACATTTTATATCTCTGGCCACTGTGGCAGCCAGCGCTTTGCCCTGAAGCCAGCGCCCTGTGAACTTCTTGCAGGTGCGGAAGCCCTGAGAGAATGTGACTCTGCCAGATGATTGAAAAACAATGAGTACTAAGGGGACACCGGGAACTCATGTCCAACACGGAAGACACCGGACGCCATCAACCAAATGGTCAGGTCTATTAACTTGCCGCGTCCAAATGACCCCTCGAGGGCTTAAGCTCCGGAGCGGCGAGGACGTGGACTCCATCGAGGCGCGGCTGAGCCGCGTGGGCGTCACCACCTGCGCCGAGCTGCGCTTCGCGCTGCGCAGCAAGACGCTGGCGGAGCCGTGGGCCCTGAGGGGGACCTGAGGGCTTTGGTGGGAGAGTTTTCAAAAGAAGCGGCTTTGGGTTTGCATTGAACTCCTGGAGCCCGGCCCTTCCCCATGTCAGTCCCTGAGCCACATCCCCAAGACGACATGCCCATTTTGAGACGACATAGGTCCCTGCAGCGCAGCGGCAAGCCTTTGACGCCGGACACGCTGCGGACCCTGGAGCAGCTGGCGGACGCAGGAGCCAACAGGGCGCTTCGTTGCTTCATGTATGGGTCAAAATCAGTCACCAGGATACGGACCGCAGGGTGGTTTCTTTGGTTCCACACAACCAGGGCAACCCATTTTTTTTGTTTGATCCGTGTGGTTCGTTGTCCAAGAGGATGGCTCTTTGTTGCACCTCGGGACTCTGGTGCCGCTGATGTTTTGTTTTCTTAATACGGGGGACCCTCAAATTGGCGCTCTTTGGAGGCGAAAAGAGCACCTTCAACAAAATTACAAAATCACACACACATACCCACCCGCCCAAGTTCTTTTTGGGTAGCGAACAGGGGCTGTTTTATTGAGGGGTATCGCTTTGGATGGTCTTAGGGGCCCTTGTATTTCCCTTCTTGGGAAGACGTAATATTATGGCCTAATTGAAAGGTTATCGCCTTTCATGGTGCAATGTATGTGGCTTTTTGGGGGTTTTCCTGCTTTGAGACACCCCTTTTCGAGATCGGGATATCGTTCCAGAGCTATGTATTTTCCATGTTTCCTCCTGTCAGGTGAGGTGTCTCACGAGGATCCGGTGAAGGACCCGGCGGGGTTGGGCGTTTGTAACGCTGCAGGATAATCAGGCGTCATTTTTTTGAAGGAGGAGCCGCAATTTGGGCCCTTTCCGGGCAGTTGGAGACGGAGCGATTCCTTGCCACAGACCAACTCCCCGTGCTTTCTTCGGTCGGCTGTTGACAGCGCCAGGAATTCCCTCGGATGCACGGCCTGTCTCACATCCGAAGATCGCCCAGGCCTTCGGCCGGTCTATGGGACGAGCCACTGGCTGTTTACGAGCCCAAACTTTCCCCTTGTCCTCTTAGGAAAATCGTAACTTTTTGACACTGGAGTCGCCTAAAAAAGGAGGAGTCACCTTTGAACACCTTTACTGGTGTTGGCATGTTTGTGGTTTGTTGGTCTTTGTTCTGGTCATGTTTAGTGGGGGCTGCAGAAAACAACGTGTTTTTTTTTCTTCTTCTGCACCATACCAATCTTGGGGAAGATTCCAATGTCCAATGGGCTACCAGCAGATTCTGGATTCTGACTGTCTCCGGCTCCTGTGGATTGTGAGAGGTGTTTGTTGTTCAAGTAAAGAAGCCAACTTCTTGTGCCTAGGTCGTAAAACACGATCAGTTGAAGACTCTTGCCAAGGAATCAAAGTGTGTAAATTGTATCATGTCAAAAAGAATGTCATCTCCCATGACGCGCATCAGCAGTTGGTGTTTAGAATCAGAGTTAACTAAAACAAGTCAGCTCCTCTGGGGCAGAATCCGATGATTTTCAGAAAGCTGCCATCCGCTGAGCGAATGACAAACCATGCGCACTCAGCTCCGCATTTCCTTTTTTCGTTGCGGGGGGGAGTGGCAAGCTGAAAGCCGCGTCTCTTTTGGTTTTCGGAGAGCTGGCTCCTTGTTTTGGCAGGTGGACCTTCAAGCAATCCACCGACCTCGAGCGGCGCTTCCTGCCGCCCGGTCCCGGCGCGTGCGCAGCGGGTCATGTTGAGGGCAAGGGATGGCTCGTGTTGAGCTGAGTTCCTTGTGGGCCCAAACCGTGGGATGTCCCTCCCAGCGCCCAGCGCCCCCTCCTTTTCCCGGTAGGTGAAAGCAGAAGGGCGAGAGCTCTGGGGCAGTTGCGCGCATATTTCGGAGCCAGGTACCACTCAGACACACCGGAATGGTCGTGGCTTGGCTTGGAAGCCATTGACGAATTGACAGAGCCTTCCCTTTGGCAGGTTCTTGAAGGGAAACAAAAGGAGATCAACTATCCTGGGTTCCCGAATTTTGAGACAAACCCACCCATACTTGCATTTCGACATGTTTTGTGAGCTTGAGCGCTTGTTGCCCACGGCAGCTTAGGTCTAGATACCAGAAGGCGGGCTCAGCCTTGATTCCAACGCCCATCAGAGAGCCTTGAGGGCCATCCGTCCCACAAGCAATCAATGAATCAGACTGAAACACACCTCTCATGCGACACATGCCAGCTTTACTTTTTTTTCTTTTCTTGTTTTTTTCCCTTTTTTTTTTCTTCTGGCAAGGAAACCGGCTTTGATCCAAAAGAAGCCTCGCGCGAAAAACGAGAGAGCGAGAAAAAGAGCGAGGGCCCCGTCTTCTCCTTCGGGCTCTCGGGCCGGGACCCCGTGGGCAAGCAGAAGATCCCGGGGCCCGGAGCCTACGAGCTGGCCAAGGAGTCCACCCGCGCCGCGTCGCGTCGCGTCGCGAGTCGGGTCGTGTCGTGCTTTTTGGGTGGTCCGAACAAGTTCTCCTAGCTGGAAGCCGCGAGTTTGGCCGCGAGCTGGTCAGCTTCTCTGAAAGGCGTGGCGATTTCCATGCCATCGCTCCTACCAAGGCTTTGGAACTAGTGAGTCTCCCCGTAATATCGCACGTGGAAGTGTAGCCTTTCAGCAAACGGTCACACTGAACTCCGCTGCAAGTCAATCCAACCTGCTAAACTGCAGTTCCCAGCTAAGACAAACCAGCTCGTCGGTTCAACTCATTTGATGCGAAAAAACATAGGATTTGTGTGTCTGCTGAGTCAGCTCATATAAGTCAACTACTCCCAGTCCCATTTACGAAACCCCCGGTGCTTCGCGCGGTCTACAAATACCAACCGATGGGTTCAACCATGGTCTCGTTTCCGTGGTGGCGATTCCTGGATGTCGCAGCCATGCGGTTTCCCGTGTAGACCTTCAGCGGCTTCCCGTAGGAGGCCGGGCAGGGCACCGCCAGCTGGACCATGACGGCGCGCCGCGCCGGGCACGGCGCGGACGGGGAGGTGCCCGGGCCCGGGGACTACGAGCTGCAGGCGGGGCTGGGGCGGGAGGTTTCCGAGGAAGAATCCAGTGGCAGTTTGCCCACGGGTTGGTGGTTTCATGGGGGTAGCAGAGCTGGCATGTACATTAACATATATATATATATATATTTATAGATATATAATGTTTATGTATATATGTATAATGCTATGTCACTATTAGTCGGTCACTATGCAATGGCTCTCCTTTTGGCTCCGAATCAGAACCCGCCAGGCCAGCCTGGGCAAGTCCCCGAGATACACAGCGGGCAAGAAGTTCGCAGCTGGGCTGTTCCAGTTGGAAGTTCCTGCCGAGCTCCGGTGTTTTTTTCTTAGGCCATTTGCTGGAGAGGCCTTCTCCAGCGCATTTGGGGACTTGGGTCAAGGGGACCTTTGCTGAGGACATGGGAGCACAAAAGGAGCGGCCTGGGCCCGGCGACTACTTCCAGGTGGGATGCGGGTCGAGGTTTCTGAAAATCGGGGCCACGCAAAATGGCAAGGGCTTCCTTCTGGTGTCACGGCGACTCATGTTGACACATGCCGAGCACGCCCTTGGCGCATCGCAGGGGGAGCTGGGCGCGAAGACCCCGTCCTGGCGCTTCGGCACCTCCAGCCGCCAGGGACCCAGGGACCGCAGAAAACCGCGGGGTCCGCGGGGTCCGCGGGGTCCAGGGGGGTCCGCGGGGTCCCAGATACGACGCCTATTTTTTGGGACGGGTGTGGCTGAAAAGGAAACGCCTCAGAACTCCCACATTGGGCAAGCCGAGGAATCCATCGACCCCCCCAAAGAAGGGTCTTGCGTGGCTGCTTCAGGCTGCAACCGACTATGAAGCTTGCAGCTTCCCCAACCAATTCAATTGAATGATTTGCAGCGCCGCTCACATGAAAAAGGGACATCTGGAAAACAAACATAGGGGGTTTCCGCCTTGCCGGGGAACTTCGCACAGTTCCAGCAGTTTATGTTAGATTTGGGGACCCTGAAAACACTGTTCCAGTACGTGCCCCCCCGGAGGCAAGTCCATGCAATCTGATCCGTGGGCCCACAGATTCGGATGGGATTCTCCTTGCATGGATTTTGTCTTCTTTTGCTTCTCGTGTCCAAGGGGTCCGTCCTCAACCAGTTCTCTCAACACTGCCCCAAAAAAGGTAAATGTGTGTGTGTGTGAGAGAGGGTGTGTGTGTGTGTGTGTGTGTGTGTGTGTGTGTGTGTGTGTGTGTGTGTGTGTGTGTGTGTGTGTGTATGTGTGTGTTTGTGCGTGTGTGTGTGCGCGTGACAATTTGGAAACACCCAAAATGGGAACCCTGGCCTTGGGAAGCGCCGAACATGTGTATGTGTGAAAGATTGGGCCCATTTTCCGCAAACGGGATTCCCGAGATGAGACTGGTTTTGGTGCGGGTCTTCGTTTTGGTTTCGGAACGGCAGGCCCCAGCAACGGCTTGGGCCAGCTGGCGACCCCCGGCCCCGGCGCCTACATGGTGGCCTCCACGGCGCCTCGGCCCCTTTCTTGGCGTTGCGGGGCCCAGACAGGCTTCGCGTTTTCTTCATCTCACTTCGTATGGTTTCTATTTAGCTCCCGTAATTTCCCACTTCATTTCTCTCATCTCTCATTCATTTCCCATTCATTCCCCTTGCTGTATTCCTTGCATATCCCGTCATTTCACTTGATCTCGTCTTATTTTCATTCAATTCCCTTCATTTCTCATTTCGTTTTCCTTGATTCCTGTTCAGATGTATCCCTTCATTTCTCCCTTCATTCTTCCTTCCCCTTTATTTCCATTCATTTCACATTCCATCATTTCCCTTCCTGTCGTCCTTCAATCTACTTTCTCCAGCTCGGGGCCCGAACCCTGCCAAAGTGTCAGGCAGCAGCAACAGGAGTGGCAGTAGGAGGAATAGGAGTAGGAGTAGGAGCTTGTTTGCACGAATCTTTGCCTTTCAAGACCTGCTTTGGGATGTGCTGGCAGCTGCCGCAATGCTCGCCTTCGGGGTATACTTTTGTCTTGCTTGTCACAGTTGCTTTTGCTGCTGCCATCGGCGATGACGATGGCAGCAGCAACGACGACAATAATTTTGCCTTGTAGCACACCTCTTCGGTTCTGGCCTCGGCTTTGTCCGTTCCTTCAAGCAACCGGCGCCAACGACTTCTTGTCGGGGGCGGGCGGGGCGGCGGGCTCGCAGAGGGCTGCCGAATATGCTGACTGCGATTTGTTGCTTCGTTCCGACGACCGATCTTTTGGTCTTGTTTGGCATGCTGTCAGGAGCGCGAACGAAGTGACCATGACATTAGAAGCGTGGTGACAAGAAACCCAAGCAGCGACACTGATGCTGGTGGCACATTACGAAGTGCTTCCACGAAAGCGCAGCGTTGCCATGTTCTGCTCAGAGTTCTTGTAGCTCGTGCGGCTGCACAAACAAGCTGAAACGGTCATTCTTGAAATGAAAGTGCACAGCGCCCCACACCTAAGTGGACGGTTCTGCCGAGCAAGCCTAGGAGACGCTAGCCCGAGGCTTAGCATGTCCATGCGGTCTCAACGAAAGCTCGCGGAAGCTGCTAAGTTTCAGACACGCGGCTACACCGAAGCCAAAATCGTCAGGAAACTCTGAGCCGCCCAGTTCACATTGCGCCAGCCTCTCCGATTGCGTCGCCTCGAAACGGTAGGATAAACGTTGACCCAGCCTTGCTGTTGGGTTGCAATGCTGGGGGATTTGTTTTTTTACCGCACCCTGGTGGTATCATTTTGGCAAGCCTCAGTTGGGTGGTTTGGGTTGGTAGACGCTTGCTTTTTTGGGTGGGTGGATCGATCGGCACTTGTTTTGGGCGGTTTGGCAGGAGTCAGCATCCCATCAACTGGTGGTTTGCTTTGGTCCCTCCCACCAGCATAGTTTGGCACTTTTTGGGGGGTGTCCCCTTTGTTTCTGACTTGTTTGCCTGCTTCTTATTCTTCTCATCTTCCTTCGGAAGTAGCTCGGTTTGGGAGTGTCGCGGAAACAAAAGGGATGCTCCTTTTGGATTCTGTTTGTTGGTCAATGCCACAAGGTTAAGCCCCGCCGCCAAAAGTCGCCTTCGGTTGGACGAAGTCCAGCGATCGCTCCGCTCCGAGGTGGGTTCCGCCCCTGCCGCCACCCTCAAGGGCCGCCATGCCGGGGGGCGGCCGACGCCCATGCCGGGGCCAGGCCCGGGAGCGTTGGCCATGGCGGAATTGGAAGGTCTCCAACCGTAGCTCAGGGACCTGTGGACCGGGATCATGATGGTTGGGATGTCAAAGGTGCGAAGAGGCTGAGAGGTGTCTTTGGCTGGCCTACTCTTATCCTTTGGTTTTCAAGCCAACCCCAAAAAGGGTGCCCTCAAAACACCCAAACGCAAACACATCCATCAGTGCAAACGGCAATCACACACATATACACATTCGCATACGCATGCACATACCCCTGCCTACCTACCTACCTTCCTACCTACCTTCCTACCTTCCTACCTTCCTACCTTCCTACCTTCCTACCTTCCGACCTTCCGACCTTCCGACCTTCCTACCTACATACACATATACATACATACATACATACATACATATGCACGTACGTACGTACGTAAATACATACATACATACATACATACATACATATATACATACATACCACACCATACCATACCATACCATACCATACCATACCATGCCATGCCATGCCATGCCATGCCATGCCATGCCATGCCATGCCATGCCATACCATACCATGGCATACATAGCATACCATAATTGGCATACCATACCATACATACATGCCATACCATACGTACATACGTACCATACCATACCATACCATACCCTACATACCTACCTACCTACCTACCTACCTACCTACCTACATACATACATACATACATACATACATACATACAGACACACCCACACACATGCATGCATAATACATACATACATACATACATACGTACATACATACATACATACATACATACATACATACAGACAGACACATAATTACATACATACATACCTACCTACCTACATACATACATACATGCAGACAGACACATACATACATACATGCATGCATACATACATACAGACGCACATAAGTACATACATACATACATACATAACATAACATAACATAACATATCATAAAATACCATAACATAACATAACATAACATAATACAACATAACACAACATAACATACCATAACATAACATAACATAACATAACAATACATACATAACATAACATAACATAACATAACCTAACATAACATAACAAAGCATAACATAACATAACAGAACATAACATAACATAACATAACATACATAACATACATAACATACATACATACATTACATTACATACATAACATACATAACATAACATAACATAACATAACATACATACATACATACATACATACATACATACATACATACATACATACATACATACATACATACATACATACATACATACATACATACATACATACATACATACATACATACATACATACATACATACATACATACATACATACATACATACATACATACATACATACATACATACATACATACATACATACATACATACATACATACATACATACATACATACATACATACATACATACATACATACATACATACATACATACATACATACATACATACATACATACATACATACATACATACATACATACACATACATACATACATACATACATACATACATACATACATACATACATACATACATACATACATACATACATACATACATACATACATACATACATACATACATACATACATACATACATACATACATACATACATACATACATACATACATACATACATACATACATACATACATACATACATACATACATACATACATACATACATACATACATACATACATACATACATACATACATACATACATACATACATACATACATACATACATACATACATACATACATACATACATACATACATACATACACACATACATACATACATACATACATACATACATACATACATACATACATAGCATATCACAACGTAACATAACATAACAACACATAACATAACATAACATGCATGCACACACACACACATACATACATACATACATACATACATACTTACGTACATACGTACGTACGTACGTACGTACATACGTACGTACTCACATATTCACATACTCACATACTCACATACTCACATACTCACATACTCACATACACACATACACACCTACACACATACACACATACACACATACACACACACACACGCCCACATACAGACATATAGACATTCACACTTTCATACATACACATACATACACATACACCTACGGTCACCTACCTACCTACCTAAATACGTACGTGCGCACGCGCGTGCGTACAGAACATACATACATGCATAACTGAATGCAGGCACACATGCACACATGCGCACATGCATACATGCATAAAGGCATACATGCACACATGCACACAGGCATACGTGCATACATGCACGTATGCATACATTCACACAGGCACACACACAAACACAAACACAGACACACAAACGCACACACACACACACACGCACACAAACACACAGAGACATACACACACACACAAACGCACGCACGCAAACACAGACACACAATTGCACACACAGACACACACACAGACAAATGCACAAACACACAGACACATTCACAGAAAGAACACAGACACACAAACGAACACACAGCCAACAGTCACCGGCACACGAGCAGACACACAAAGAACCACAAGCAGCTACGCAAGCACACACACAAGAGCACAAATACACACAAATACACAAACACACTCACACCGAACAATTTCAGAACTTTCTCCCAGAGGAAGCACAGGACAGGCGAGATCTGAGTTCCGCCAGGAGCGCATGGAGGGCATTATTCCTCTTTTGGCAGTGGCCTTAGGAAGAAGACATGGGTGTGTCCTTTTTGCGAGGGTACCTCCTTATGGTGGTGTTTGAGGGATTTAAGGGGAATCCAAAAAGGACACCGCCAGGGCCCCCCCCAAAAAAAAGACACCCAAAGAAGGGATCATCTACGGGTGAAGGGGCCATGATTCCGTCCCCGTCCGCTACCGCTTTCCGCATCGTTGGTCGCTTGCAGGGGGACTCGGCCTGGGTAACGTTTCCAACAGTCTATGGTTCATATTATGGGGATGGACATGGGGGAAGTCACTAAATTTCCCACTTCGCACATTTCCCCATGTTCTCTTGGTGGAAACAAGTAGTTTCGCCCGAATCTCACGCGTTGAACCTTGAAACGGGGGCACTTTGGTCGCGAGCTTCGCATCGATTCGGAGTCGAGCTCGGCGAACTCTGGCTGCGTTTGGCTGAGGATAGTCCATTGCGAACCTGGTGAGGCGCTTCTGGGTTCTTCGGACCTTCCCCGGGTTGGACGGCATTTGGTCTCTATCAAAGGATTGGCAGAGAGATAAGTTCCATATTTGGAAATACACCAAAGCATGCCTTCAGCGCAGAATGTGCCTCTTGTGCAGATTTGGGTTTGATTGAGCAACCGCGAGGGCTTTCTTGGCTTTCCCTTCTGGGCCAGGCAGCAAAGCGCAACGACACCCTTGTACAAATACAGGATGCGCTTTGGAGCAACAGGAGAGCCTTCCGATCGATGGAAAACGCTCGCAACCCGCTCGCCCAAAGCCCGGATCCAGCACCACCAAAAGCGGGGAGCGCTCCGCGCACGGTTTGGTTCCATGTACACACTTGGTTGAACTTGTTGTTTCGGGCTGCGACTTAGGGACGGTGGCAGCAGCGGAGATCTCTGGCTTTTTGGTTTCATGTCGTCACGCCGTCATTAGAGTTTAAGGGTTGCGCGGGACGCATTTTCGTCAATCCTAGCAAGCCTACCTTCGCAGAGGTAAATCAAATGGGCAAGCAGCAAGGTCACAAACTGGTAAGGTCGGACAAGTCGTAGAGGAACACATCAATACTAGGCATGGTTGCAAGCAAATGTGCAGCAGCGCTAGCACGGTCTCTTCTGTGAGTGCATTGTCCTTGCCAGCAATCCTCGGTGTGCCAATGCGGTCCTTTGGCTTGGCGCTGCAAGAAGTATCCATGGCTGGGATAGTTTTACTCTGCAAAAAGCCATTGGCAAAGACGCAAATTGGGAGCCAGTGCGTTTTCCACGTTTGTTTAGGCCCACTTGCAGGGATGCTCCCAACTTGAAGCTCCATTTGAGCAGTGATGGCCCCAAAGCGGGAGGCGAGCCGAAAAAGAAAACCCATTGCATGTGTCAATGTAAGGCATGGTCCCAGTTGTTTTGGACGTATCAAATGAGCTGCACCGCCGCTTGTAATTTGAAGGGCAGGAGTGTGTTGCAGGAGCGGCCGCGCAAGTCAAACATGGGGCTGCGCAAGTAAAGCGCAAGTGAAGCGCAAGTGAAGCGCAAGTGACGCAGTGATGATTCATCATCATCATCATCATCATCATCATCATCACCACCATCATCATCATCATCATCATCATCATCACCATGGCCCAAAGATTAACAAGTTTTCGCGCAAGTCCCGCGCAAGTCGCGCGCAGCCCGCAGATGCCCCCACACTGCTTGGAGCAGGAGTGGCCCATTTCCGTATTTTGCATTTTCTTTTTTTTCTTCTGCAGATCCCAGCAATGTTGCCGAGTGAAATTGCTAGCAGAAATTGTGCAGCGATGCATACACATGAGACCTCATACACTTAAAGGGGCATGCTATTGGGGGACCTCATGCTTATGACCGCCGCTTGGATTTGCAATGAAAGCAACTTGGGATAAGAGTCTTAATGCGGGTCGATTTTTCCAGCTCACTTGAGGGACACCTGCGCGCGAGGCCACCTTCGCCCGAGAGCTTGAGCCAGGGCTTGCCCGCTCTCCAGCGCTCAGGCGCTCAAAAGGCGTGGTGCGTTCCTTTTTCTTTGCGAATTGTCATGCAGACCCTAAGTTAGGATATCCCTGCCCTCACGAGACGATATGTGGTTACAATGCCGTGTGTTTGGGTGATGTTGGCTTGCGCCTTGTTTCTGGAGAGTTCTTGGGTGATTAGTTTTAGTGCTTTGACAAGCGTGCCGTTCAAAGTCTCACCCGCGCAAAGGGCGTGTCGGGATGCACCAGCAACCGCGTCTTCCAAGGAAGAGTAAACAGTGCCCCTAGTGGACAAGCATGGGTGGTGTCGCACGTCTGTTTCTTCTCACAAGGCTGAAGCCGAGTGCAGCCTATTTCTTCCTGTGCTTGAGCAGGCTTGGCTGGAAACACTCAAGCGGGATTTCGCGAGTCTCTGGGAGTGAGGGCCGATGTGCCGTGCCAAAGGCACGTTCCAGAAGTTCCCAGCTGATTGCAAGAGCTGCAGTCGGAGGGCACCCGTGCGCCATTTGCTTTTGGATCGCCTCGCCCAGCCCATTCTGAACTGAGCTTGGTGCCGTGCTTGAAGAACAGGCCGGTAGGTTGCACCATGCTGTTTCAGAACGTCGCCGGCGCGGAAAAAGACACACACGAAACAAACACCCGAAAACAAGCACATACACACATGCGCCTGATCCTTTCAGCACCCCTAGCCTGCATGTGGTCACAAGTTCCCTGAGAAGGCGTGTGGTGTGTGTGATCACTTCCGAGGGAACATGTCATGTGAACCTGTGGGAATCCCTTTTTGACGTGACATGTGTCACAGTCGAAGCAATCGTGAAGCAAACCTGTCATCGCACAGTTTCTGGGGCTTCACTCAACCGGCTGTTGCAGATCCACATCGCCCCCGTGCGATGGGACCACAGTGGCTCAAAATTTCAGAGCTGGGGTTACGCAGGTTTTGGCCTTTGTTTCCATCCAAGGGGCCAAAGAATGGGTTCCACTTGTTTGAGCCACAGCCAAGTCACGGTTTTTGTCAAGATTTCGCCCGCAACTTGCACACGGCTCAAGTCCGGGCGACCGGTGGACAAGGCCGGGGGAGCCCAGGGGATGGGCCCCCGCTTAAGCGCAAGCCTCGATTCCGAGTAAAGCAAAGAAGGACAAACGCACACAAAGTGGCAGGTGCCATGCCCTTGCCTCAGGTGCGTTTGACTTTGCTACAATCTACAAGCTGGTTTCGAATTGATGGTCGGCCATCCATACTGTAGGTCCTTGGTGTTGGCAAGACATCTTGTTAGTATTCAGTTGTTTGGTGGGTCCTGTGCGGAGAAGCAAATCGAAGGTGTGCCAAAAGCTGCCTGCCCGCAAGTAGCTCCGCAATCACCAACAAGCACACTTTTTGGAAGCCGCATTGCTGACTTTCCTGAAATTAGCCTCCATTGTGAGTCACAGAAGCAACCCAATCCATGCCCGTAGAAAAGTGCCGAGCATGCCTCAGAATTGTGAAGGCTCCATGCGGTACCAAGGGGCCTCCGGTGGTTGAAACGCATTGAGTTGCATTTGGTTTTGGGCTTCGGCTGTGAATCCGACGCGCTCGCGTGAGGCTTGCCGGATGGATTCCTCCGCGCGAGCGGTGGCAGAGGTGCTGCGGGACGTGGTGCCTAGCTGAGGGCTTGGGCTTCGGCTGAGGACGAAATCTGTGTGAGGTGTTTCTCGAAAGGGGGGTAGTTGTGCTAGTTCGAAAGAACATCAGAAGGAAGCCATGTCGGAGTACGGCATCGGCTTCGGGCACGTTCTTTCAGACTCGAGTCGGGAGGTTACTTCGCCCATCCGCTGATGGCCTTTTCCCAGGTGCAAAGAAGACCTCAGGAGAGCGGGAGGGGTTGGGGCAGGTGCGGCAGGGGGGTGAACATCAGGGGACTTCTTTTGATTGAACTTGAGAGATCTCGCATGTGCGAGATGATTCGGCGTTGATGCTTTGCCTCGCTTGGGGTGCCCCACATTTGCCCCTGTTTGACCTGCTTTCGTAGGACCTCTTTGGCACTGTGGTGGCAGAGCTCGAAAAAAAGAGCGGCCGAGATCCCAAAGAGTTCGAGGCGTACTTCTTGGAGTGCCGAGATCTCGGCTTTGACGTGAATCGTGCGCTTACCACATTGGAATACAGGCACTGGCTTCTTGCGGGCACAAACTGGTGGTTTTCCATCTGGTTTTCCTTTGAACAAACCTAAGAGCCAGCCTCAAAAAAAGGTCACACCTTCACGTTGCGCGATGCAATCGGGGAATTGGAAGCTTGAGGGTTCAGTGAGAGAGAGAGTCCAAGGCTCCAAGGAGTGCAATCGCTCCGCTGGCGCGCCCCGAGCGAGCTGCTTCGCGGAAGGCTCGGCTAATTTTGCCTCCGAGGCTGACGCGTTTGGAGCGAGAAGCCCCCGCCGACTTGGGGAAGGGATGTGACCCGGGGGAGTGACGCGCATCCTTGTGCTTCAGGGGGAAAGGTTCAGACGCTGGGAGTTTGTAGCTGTCAGCAAGGCAGTTTCATGTTGGCTCGGCTCTAGGCAAGCCGAAGTCGTGAGGGAGCTTGGTTGCGCCCTTAGCAAGATAGTGTTGGAAGGGAGACTGTGCGAGACACAAGAGCGGCAGCATTGTTTCTTCTAAGCCGCCTTGCTATGTGCGGTGCTGCAGCGTTTTGGCAGTGCGTGTCCGGCTTGGGCATGGAGCTTGACATGCCTGGGTTGGAAAGATTGAGAAGTTTGGGCTCAGTCAGCCCTCGCCGAGGCCAACGTGAGGCCGATCGTCGCCGATGAGCATTTCATTCGCATGGCTGGGACCTGAATGGTAAGATGAACAAGCGCGAAGCAAAAGGAGAAGCCGAGGTTGAAATCTTTGAGTTGCCGGTCGGCACTGTCAATGCTTCCTTAATATTGCCAGTTGGCTTGCTTCAAGGCCAGATCTTTTTTGTTGTGCACGAAGGGGATCCCAACTGCCAAAATTGCAGCCCCAATGTCTTGTAAGTTGCAGTGATCCAAGCCATGCCGAGTTTCTATGGCGTTCTTTGAAGGAGCACGCCATGTCAAGTAGCTTGCGCCCAACAGTGGCAAGTCCAGTCCACCCAAGAGCTGCAGTGCAGGATAAACATTCCGCACCGTGCGAGGTGGTTGCCGTCTCACGGAGTTCCTGGCACATTGCAGGGAAAAGCGCTCGGGAGGGATGTTTGACTTTCTGGCGATTCCGCCGATGTTTGCCAACCGCGACACAGACGTAACGCAGAGATCTCGGCGGGATTCATGAGGCTGGCACCGAGTAGGGCGCTGGTGCAGAGGCACAGAAATTTGCCGCCTGCGCCCCACGCGCTGTGGCCTGACTTCCTTCTTCCAAATCCATCCTGCCACTGCGGGCTTTTGCCAGAGAAGCAGCAAGCTAGCGGGGTCAAAGCCAAAGCTTCAAACCATCGCTTGCTTTCCAAACACGCCCCTGGCGTAGTTGAGCGCTGGTGTTGTTTTTGAGGAGCTTGGCAGCGACATGTGACAGGACTGGCATATGGACGTGCACCAAAAACTAAAGTTGCCAGGAGCAGAGAACTCGTGCCATGGGACACTCAGCTGAAAGAAGTTGCAAGAAGGGTGGCAGAGGATAATGTTATATATGTTTTTGAACTGCCGCGTTGCTGCATGTCTCATCTCGGCTCTTGAACTAGCAAAACCCACTGGCGTGCGCAGCCAGAGCGACTCAGGCTGCTCACCAGCCCCACATCGTTCCATGTAATCCGAGCACTCAAGTCCCTCCTGGCAGAGTGAGTGACCGAAACCTGCATGGCCCGAAGGTGGCCCTCGGCGGCGCGGCGCACGTCAGCGCGGCACGTATCTCATGCAGACCTGTACACCTTTCCAACGCCATCGGTGCAGTTTATTTGTTGATATTTTTGCTGCTGGTCAGATGGCGTTCAAGGCGCGACACATCTGCCACCAGCTTCCAAGATTGAACTGGCGGCTTTGCAGGCCAAGTTTGCATGTCAGAATGTCGCATGCATGCCATCGCGGCACGTGTTCTGATTCTGTGAACGAGCCGCTGATTTCCGACTTATGAGAGAAGATCCAAATTTGCGGATCGATGAGACATTGCCCCTTTGTTTTCAGCCGGGCGAAAGTGCCCTGGCTCTGTGCGCCCGTGTGTTTTGTTTATGACACGAGGCTTCTGAAATGAGGTGACATGATATGAAGCAAACCTTTCCTTGGCTCAATTCAGCTGGCACGGCGTATACAGCAGAGTTTGCGCGGTATACCGCTCACCTGGCGTGCTTGAAGCCGTCCGCAGCTGCGACTGGACAGCTGAACTAGGAGAAGTCACCTCGCAGAGGGTTCTGGTCGAATCGCTGCCAGCAGTTGTGTTTCTGAATCCAACTTGGCTGGCATGCGTCCATGAACCTGGGAACAAAGACAGAGCGAAAGTCTCCAGCAACTGTCCCTCTAACTTGCGCATTTTGCAAAGCACCATGTGGAGGGAGGTGACGGCATCACACCGACCATTGCGGAACACGGGAGAAGGGATAAAGGGACGAACTGGCCAGTGCTCTATTTCTTTTTGATCTCCGTTTTTCTGCTCTCTCTCACTCTCTCTGTCTCCCCGTCTCCCCGTCTCTCCGTCTCTCCGTTTCTCCGTCTCTCCGTTTCTCCGTCTCTCCGTCTCTCTGTCTCTCTGTCTCTCTGTCTCTCTGTCTCTCTGTCTCTCTGTCTCTCTGTCTCTCTGTCTTCTCTCTGTCTCTCTGTCTCTCTGTCTCTCTCTCTGTCTCTCTGTCTCTCTCTCTGTCTGTCTGTCTCTCTGTCTCTCTCTCTCTCTCTCTCTGTGTCTCTGTCTCTCTCCGTCTCTCCGTCTCTCCGTCTCTCCGTCACTCGGTCTCTCTGTCTCTCTGTCTCTCTGTCTCTCTGTCTGTCTGTCTCTTTGTCTCTCTGTCTCTCCGTCTCTCCGTCTCTCCGCCTCTCCGTCTCTCCGTCTCTCGTCTCTCCGTCCCTCGTCTCTCCGTCTCTCCGTCTCTCCGTCTCTCTGTCTCTCCGTCTCTGCGTCTCTCGTCTCTCCGTCTCTCCGTCTCTCC